AAAAAAAAAAAAAAAAAGTAGAAAACAGAAAGAGAACAGGAACAACAGGCAAAGACAAGAAAACGCAGAAAAGAAAAAAAAAACATGCTTCCCAGGTGGGTGGACGGTCGTGGGTTCGATTCTTGGTCATCGACTCGTGTTTGGTCTCTGCTCGTGCTTCGTCTAATAGAAGAAAAAAAAAAACAGAAAGAGAACAGGTGGAACAACATGCAAATTAAAAATAAAATAAATTAAAAAAACGCAGATAAAAAAGAGAACATACTACACTTGATCTTAGCCAAAAGGCCGAGAAAGGTCTGTTCTGATCAGTTTAATATCTGATCCATAAATATATAAAATAAAATAAAAAGAAGAAGAGAACATGACAATAGTACCGGTAAGAGTGAGCAAGCCATCTTCTCTGTATCGTTCAATAGCATGGCCGCTGCGCAAGGATGACACGCATCAATCGAGAAAAAAAAAAAAAAAAGAGTGAGCAAGCCTGTTGGTTGAGTGTTTGCCTTTCAAGGCAGGTGGTCGCTCGGTCGGTTCTTGTGATCGACGACTCGTGTGTGGACTCTTCTGGTGCTTGCATTGACAGAAAATAGAGATGACTTCCAAAAAAAACAAAAACAAAAAAAAACAAAAAAAACAAAAAAAGAAAGAAAGAAAAGAGAAGAAGAAGAGATGACAAGCGAGCGATGATCCGTAATTCAGCGAGAGACCGAGCAAGCGAACAATGATCTTCAGAAAGACGAACACGTGGCTCGCAGGATAAGACGCACGTGGCAAAATAGGCAAACTTGCCACGTGTTTTTTTCTGCCACGTGGCTCTTATTCCTTTTTTTTTCCCCTTTGAAAACGGCGACGGCCTTGATTGATATAATAGCCATTGAGCTGACCGGCCCCAGGTAATTCAACATCTTTTTTTTTTGGTCTTTTCATCTGATCGCAGCTGGATTCGAACAGAGCTCACAAGTTCGAATCCAGCTGGATTCTGTGAGACACGTGTTCCTCTTTTGCCACGTGTTCCTCTTTTGGCACGTGCCTCTTATACTGTGAGCCACGTGGCTCACACGATAAGGCCTTATCTCGCAATAGATAAGGAAAGAGAGAGAGAGAGAGAGAGAGAGAGAGAGAGAGAGAGAGAGAGAGAGAGAACAAACGAACGACATGTCCTTGAGAGAGAGGGACAATTTGGAAATAGAGAGACAGAGCGAGCGAACGAAATGTCCCTCCCTCTCTCTCAGAGCGTCGTGGTAAGTGGGAACGGGACGACAGCAGCCGGGACACGGGTGGGACGGGACGACAGCAGCGGGAACGAAAACTCGACAGCGAAACGCGATCACGCAGAGAAAGGGAGGGAGGGAGGGGGGG